TGGGCAGGGGGAGGCCGCCGAAAACGGGGCGTGAGGCACAAGACACTGCAAGAGAGGAGAACGGTGGCAGCCGGCTGGACAGCGGGGGTGCAGCAAGAAAGCGTGAGACGGGGAACGGGACATCGAGAGAAAGACAGAAAAGACAGGACAAGAAAAAGGACAGAGGCACAGCGGGGCGGGGGAGAGAGGAGAATAGAGATGGAGACAGAAGCAGCAGGGTCAGAGGAAGAGAGGCAGAAAGAGGAGAGGCAGAAGGGGAGTGGGAGCAGGACAAAGAAAAATATGGACAAGGAGCAGGATGGAGATAAACTGGAATGGGCAGTATGACAGAGGGGGTTAAAACAAAGTAGGGGCAGGGAACAGGACAGAGCGATACAGTGAGAAATGATGGGATGGGGAGCAGGACAGAGCAACAGAGTTAAAAGAAGGGAGGGAGCAGGACAGAAAGAGGAAAAGAGGGTCAGGGAGTAGGACAGAGAGAGAATAAGAGGGGCAGCAAGCAGGACAGTGCTAGAGACACAAGAAGGACACAGACAGAGAGACAGAGACAAGGACAGAGGGAAAGACAGAATGAGCGGGTTGGGGAAGGGAGAAAGGCAGGGGCAGGCAGCAGCAAAGAGGGATGAAGAGCAGGACAGAGGGTTATAAAGAGAAAAGTAAGATGAGGGAGGACTGAGGAGCAGAGACAGAAAGGTACAGAGGAAAAAAGGATGGTGAGATGGAGACACAAATAGGGTTAGGGAACAGGACAAAAGGACAGATAGAAAAAAAAAGAGAGGAAGAAGGACAGAGGAATGAAGATGCGTACAGAGAACAGGGGAGAGGGACTGTGTAATAGAGAGAGATGCATATTGGGATAAAGAGATGGAGAAGGTAAAAACAGTAATGGGCTGGAGGACCTGCTTCTGACAACCTGTCACTCCTGATGTCACTTCCATGGCTTTAAAAATGGGATATGGCACAAAACAAGGAATGGGGGAGTGAAAGAAAAGGCACAGGGAACTTTTCAAAAAGAAAAAAAAGAAACAAGAAAGAGCAAAATAGTGATGGGGACCAGGGTAGGGATGAGGAGCTGACTGACCAAGAGAGGACACCAGACAGAAAGAGAGAGGAAAAAGGGGACAGAATTCTGGATATAAGGATGGAAGAAAAACAGGAACAAAACCCAGTATTTATTACACTGTGTGGATAATTAAAATGTAAATAATCTACCAGCTTGAACTGACTGCTCACCATAGCGGCTTAGCGTGTATCTCATCTAAGTTAGCATCTGTTTCTTGGCAGGGTACACAGGACTATAAAACCCATGATAATACATGGAGGTAGAACCATGCTTACAGGAGTAAGCTAAATGGATTATGTGCATAAGATTTGATATTACTTAGTCTCAATCCTAGCTTGACGCTCAATACTCTGAACTCTGAATTTAATTTCTGCAAATTCCACATTTATCCATGCTTTTCCATTTAAAAAAACTGCATTATCTCAGTGTTAGATAGAGGGTCATTTGAAGATGCTATGAACATAAAGAGAGACTTCTCTTTTGCAGGGTCTTTGGAAATCCTACATTGATGTTGAAATTGAGCAAGAAGAATATAAGAAAACAAGAAATCTTTACCACAGATTACTTCAGTGGACACAGCATGCTAAAGCATGTATGGATACTCAGAACACAGAATTTGTCTTGAATTTGGTCCACAGTGGAAAGAAAGCCTCAACTGCTTTGGTTGTCTGTCTTTTTCAAGTCAACACTGAACCCAAGTTCAGGCCTGTGCCTGTGCCCTGAAGGAGGGAAAGACATTTCTACATTATGCATGTTTATCTTCTATGCAAGTGTTCATATATTGCCTTCCTCTGCTGTGTTTTTTCGGTACTGTATGATATTTTCATTGGTCATGAATAAATGCATTTGAAGAGTTTTTACTGTTACTGACTTCAGTTATTTTTGGTTTGAAAGAAAACACCATACATGAGCTAATTCCACTTTAATAGTCTCTGAATTTCCAATATTTGAAAGGAAAAATAGTGGTCTAAGTGCAGGCATATGCAGCCACTGCCAACAGAAGCAGCATTAATAAGCTTCTCAATATTGCTTTTTGGTATTTCATGGGGAAAAACACTGAGCCTAAGATTTCTCATCCGGGGGATGGGGGAGAAGGAACCTGACACTCTTAGCAAGTTGCCCAAGAATCACAGCTTACAGTTACTCAATGTCTTCTGGTCTCACAGGATGAGGCAGAGGTATAATTGATTTCTTCTCTGTATCTCTGGAAAGAGCTTTTCTCATATCTGTGGCAAAAGAAAAACAATGCTATTATAATAAAGACAGTCATTGCACAAAGCCATATTAAGTGAATTCTGTATTACAGTAAGATCATTTTTAATCAACAAGATTTCACAGAACCATAGAAGATCTTGAGTTGGAAGGGACCCATAAGGACCATTGAGCCCAACTCCCTGCTCCTCACAGGACTACCTAAAACTAAACCATATGACTAAGAGCATCATCCAGACACTCCTTGAACCCTGACAGGCTTGGTGCCCTGACCACTGCCCTGGCAAGCCTGTTCCAGGGAACAACCACCCTCTCAGTGAAGAACCTTCTCCTAATGTCCAATGTGAACTTCCCCTGATGCAGCTTCACGCCATTCCCTCGCATCCTACCGCTGGTCACCAGAGAGAGATCAGCACCTCCCCTTCCACTGCCTGCCTTGAGGAAGCTGTAGACTGCGATGAGGGCACCCCTCAGCCTTTTCTTCTCCAAGCTGAACAAGCCAACTGACCTCAGCTGCTCCTCCTAAGTCTTGCCCTCAAGACTTTTCACTATCTTGGTCACCCTCCTCTGGACACAGTAACAGTTTGATGTCCTTAATGTAATTCAGCAGCAATGTTATCAACTGGAATATAACACTGCATGAAACTCAAGTGAATGGAAAGGAAATGGCAGGCTAAAAGGACAAGTATATTATTTAAGGCATCTGCAACACTGTAGATGTCTGTCTGTAGCTCCTGTATTTCATCGTACTCCCACATGTCAAATGAATAGTGCAAGAACAGAAAAGATACAGAGCATGGCCATGTAACCCTTTGGGGAGGATACTTAAAGGACAGAATGTCTAGAAAGAGGAAGCAGCTGGTATTTCAATTTTGTTAACAGACTTAACATTAACATACTTGAATTTCCATGCTCCTTCTCTTTCAATTTGAAAATGCCACCCAATTCTCTGCCACTGCTGACCATTGACACTTGTAAATTTGTAGTTAGATGTCTAAGAAGAAGAAAGTTTCAAGTCCCTGTTATGGGAAGAAATGAGGAAAGCACTGCAATTCCTTCCCCCAATAGCGTTAGCAAAAAGCCCAGCCAGTATTCCTCAGAAAGAAAAATCAGAGAAGAAACTGCATTTTTATTTTCATCTCACCTACAGAATACATGTCTTTGTACTTACTTATTTATTGTTGCCTCTTAGTTTATTTCGCTACAGATGCTACCAAATGTGTAAACTGCAAGATTAAGTTTTGTAACTGATGTAATCTTCTGTAGGAAAACCTATCTAAAGCAGTACACCAAATCCTATTTGTCAACAACTATCTGAACTTGTTTCATATTAAAGAAGAAAAAAAAAAAACATACAAACAAACCCAGGAACCCTCAGCATGAGAATCTTTCAACTGCAGGCAGAACAAGTACTTACCGTAAGCATCTTCATCTGGCTCTCCATTGCTAGCAGAGTAGTACTCTAATACTGTCCGGTACACACTGTAGCCTAGTTGCTTATACATATTTACTGCAACCTGATTTGATACTCTCACAAAGAGATCGACGAAAAATCCACCCTTTCTTTGAAAAAATAAAACCCAGAAAAACACAGTAAGGAATAGCAGGTGAATATATAAATAAATAATAACCCATAACTTGTAATCAGACCAAGAGCAAGTCTGATGATGTGGTACGCTAATCAAACATCTTTCACACTGTAATAACAGATGCACTCCTTTTCCAAGGGGCAAATCCAGTATAAGCGCAAATTTCATTTTATTTTTGTCACATGACCATTCTTTTACACCTGTCAGTGGGTTCAGAATTATGAACTAAAATAACAGGACAAGCTAAACAGCCACACAAGCTTCATATCCCTAAGAAATTATTAAAAAAAAAACAACCCAAATTTTAGATTCCATTGGCTTAGGGACTGCCTCCTTCAAAGTGCATGGCGGAGGGAATGGTGGAATCAGTCACAAAATTCAGCTGCCTAACAGGAGACAGCCCTTCTCTCAAGGCAAATTTTTCAAGACATCGTACTACTTTCCAATTTTACCAACTGCAATGGGTTTGCCCTACCAGCATGATTTGAGGACAGTTCCCTGTGGGTTCATTTGACACTGAATTAAATTTTCAGCAGGTACAAGCAACCAAACACCACATAGAAAGTAAGCCAAGATACTGTCTACCATACAAACTTTGTTCAAGATTGTGCCTGCCGGAATCACACAAAGCCCACGATTACCTAACACGTATGTTGGAGACCCTACAGGAAACAATACTGATGTTTTGTGAAGTTCTTTTCCTGTCAAAAAGAGTACCTTTTATACAGTATTTCTGCTGGAATTCAGGCTCCTTCCTACTCATTCTGGCAAGCTAGCTTTCACAGAAATGCTGAGATCTTAAACCGCCAAGCAACATTCATAATTCTTGTTCTCTAACTACAAGGAATGCCAGTGAATCAGAACACTACCTAAAGCAAAATTCTGGGTCTGTTTCAAATCAAATATCTAAGCCAGGGACAGGTATCTGTAGAAAGATTACTTTAAAAGAAGAATTCAAAGATAAGTATAATACTCACTTTTCTGAAATTTCTTCCAATAGTTCCATCAATTTAGCAGCCAAACCCAGCCGTCGAAATTCTGGTGCAACAGAGAGAGCAGTAACATGTCCATGCCATTCTTCCCTAGCCACAGAGCCTTCCGCTTTACCCATTACTGTGAACGTACAGAGCATCAGTGCAGTAGCAACCTTGGAGTAATGCACCACCCACAGCTATACACCTTTACAAAAAGACCAAGCAGCATATAAACAAACATTGCAATGACTGTGGTGAAGGCTCAAACAGGGATGTCTACGTTATCACTCAGCGATTCAGCCCACTAAAAATGTCATTTTGCTCAAGTATTACAGTAGTTTCTTGACTAGTGGCGGGGGGGAAGAGTTAATTTTTGCAAACTCATTGTTTGAGGCATGACTTCCAAACACAAATTTTAAGCAATTCTCATGAGTCTTTAACCAAGCAGAATTCGGGATCTGACAAAAATAATGGAGGAATGGAGGGCTAGAAGCCCAAAACTAACTCACCATCCTGGCAACTACTGAAGACTTGTGGTGACTATGGGGGAAGAAGGTTTGGGAAGCTTTGCCAATCTGGCAATACAAAACTAAGGCCCTGCAAACACGGTACGTTTAAGAAAAAAACAAAAAAGCGGGGGGATGTTGTTTTGGGGGGCTTCTTTGTAGTTCCTCTCCTTTCTACACAGAACAAAACCAGTGTTAGTTCACTTACAAATATTCGCACTTCCACACGGTACTCTTATTAACATCAGTCACTGCTAATAAGCAATCCATGTGGTGGGTACGGAGCAACCTTCTGTGCAGCAAATGCTTTAAGCTTTATGGTGTTAAATACTTTATTTCCCAGTTCCCTGCAAAGACCCTCATTCTGCCCACCTCCCATCCCCAAGAAAAGGGGAAAAAAATCTGGAAAGAATAAACAAACCAAGTGCTACTTGGAATTATTTCCAAAAACCAGGAATATTCCACAGCAGATAAGCAACTGACATCCAGACCCAGAGCTTTCCTTTACAGGACAATGCAAAAACCAAGCCCGGCATTTTTACTTACTGATGACTGACCGTGTGTGAGATCAGAGCTGAGCACAGGGACTTAATTCCAGGATTACAGAAACGCTTGTATGCACACATTCACCTGTACGAAACCTGGGTGGGCGCTACCACAGTCAAGAGTCCTTGCTGCGCGAGGAAGATCAAACTGAAAACTAATGATATAGGTCCTATGTAACACCCATAGACATGTATGAAATGGAAAGATGCTACACAAGGCTCCTCTTCCCTGTTGGGTGTTTTGAAGATGCAATGAGCGACAAAAGCTCCTGCGTTATAATCCCCCAAACATGCAACACAGTACGACAGTCACGCCGGAAAACGCCGCACCGCGGGGTCACGCCACACTCACTGTAACCCATCAGCTCCCCGCCGGGCGCCTCGGCGACAATGAAATACTCGGGCCAGTGGGCCAGGTACTGCAGGTAGAAGGGTATCCCGTACTGCGGCGCGGGGTTAAGGAGCGAGCCGTCGCC